AAAAGTAGGGAGTTTCAACCTGCGAGATTTCACAAGCTCACTTCTATCTACTGCAAAACATCTCTCTCCAAAATTCTCAACTGCATGTACATGTGGGGGGTTAACTTGGGGCTTTGTTTCTCTGCAGTGCATGCTTCACCATAGTGACAGTAAGGGCAGGTTTGCAGCACCTGCAATGAGTGTGTAACACCCCATGGTGTCCCAGCAGCAAGGTGAGGACTTCATCCTGGGCATCCAGGAAAAGCTGATTTGGGGAGGGGAGAGAATAACTGCATCCCCAGCTGGCCAGGTCAGCTGTAATTACAGAGAAACAGAACGTGGCAGCTAAACTTTTTCAAATAAATGTGCCCTTCAAGCTCACTTGGTGTGAGTCTTTATCTGGTCTTACTTGCAAATAAAAGATTTATTTCTCCTCTTAGCTCTGTGCCTCTGTGTTGCCTCTGGCAACCAGGGATAAAGCAGTAAAATGGGACTTGTAATCTAGACAAGGTATGATACAGACCTCCACTGCAGCTGCATTTATTAGATTATATTGATTTGTCAGCAAACCCTATAGGGTTTTTTAACAAAAATTTACCTGTGTGGATTGATCTGAGGGGGTAATGTTTGGATTGAATCCATTTCTAAGCCTGTGACTTTAGCAGAAAAGACAGATAAGTAAAACTTCCAGATATTTTTAAGATGGGGAGAAGAGAAATGAAGTGTGGTTGTTGGTTTTGTTTGTTTGTTTGTTTTAAAGTCTCTCTCTTCCACAGGAAAAGGGAAAATTTAAGAGAATAATTCAAACATCTGCAGTAACTATATGGAGCTAAGCTTTTCTTTTCAGAAACCTAAAGAATGGTATGATGCAATCTATTTAGCACATGGAATTACTGATAATAGGTTCATAAGAGCACTATAAATTCTTTACTACAGGGTAATGATTAATGTATCTATTTTTAGTAGATGGAACTGTGTTGCCTGTAAAGGTGTACAAATGTGTATTTTGTTTGCTGACATAGCTGTAAAATACAAGAAAAATCCCTCTCAAAGTAGAAAGCACCAGTAATACTAACTTACAAGCAAAGTAGCTGGGAAATTGTATCCACAGTGCTCAGGAAGCATATGTGAATTGAAACCTAATGTTCTAGTGCAGATAGAGAAGGAATTAATATTTCTTGAGAGAAACAGAAGAAAATAAGCATGACACCCTCATATATATATATATACTTTTTTATTATATAGTGTTTAAAATGACACAGTATTAAAGACAAGCTGTAAATTTTCTCTGCAATATATGAGAGGTAATTACTTGAGCTATAGGTTGAAAAATAAAGAATTGAGGTACTTTATTAATAAACTGAAAGCATTTGGAAGGATTAAAGTGTCTGTTTGGTTTTTTCCTGGAAAGTCTTTTTTTTGTTGTTGTTGTCCAGAGCCTGACATGTGTACTCATTTATTTCTGCTGAACAAATCTAAAACTTGAATGGAGATCCCAACAACTTGATATTTCCCTCTAAAGCCTATATTTCTGCTAGAGAATCTTTGCAAAATAGTCACTTCCCATTAGTTGATAACAACATTTGGAAAGGTTGCAATTTTTTTTTTTATCATGTGAACATATTTATCCAACTTGCTAATTGCTGCTGTCATTGCCCAGGTGAAAATGTCTCCCAAGCCCATTCTCTTTGCAGCTTATCCATCCTTTGGCAGCCTTGTTCCTCCTGCACTCTGCTGGGACCTCTGGCTTTCTCTTTCTCTCAACCCTAACACTCATCCTAACCGAGTGACACAGTAACTCACTGTAAGCTCACCCTAACTGAGGAGTGACAAAGCCCCCCTCAGCCATTACAAATTTCTCACTGATAAGTTCCCTTTGCTCCCTGAAACTTTCTTTGGCAGCCCTTTGTCATGTTGGTGACGATGAATAAATCAGAAAATAGGGTTCTGCAGGAAAAAAAATTAAATTGTTTTATTGGGGGGAATTCCAGAGTCCAAAAAACTGCAGAAAGTCAAATTTTTTTCAGAATAAATGTATGGCTTTTTGGCTGAAACTGTGTAAGTTGTTGTAAGCAGGGTGAGATACCACAGGTCATGGAGGTGGTGTGAGCCGCCAGGTCCTCGGTGGTGCATGTCCTCCTGGAGGTCCCTCCACTCCTGCTAACCTGGGTGGGCACCAGTGTTGTGGAAGGAGTCAGCAAAGACCAAAGCGTACCCTCCTAAACTGATGCTGTGCACTGTGAGGCCTAGAAACAGCTGCTTTGCTGTCTGCAGTATTGCCAGAGCTCTGCTTTTTACCTGTTGGCATCCACAGCTTTTAAACTGCAGTTAATGAGAGTAATTTGTACGCTGTTTGTGAGCAGGTTCAGAAGGTCACATGCAAAAGTGCTTTGGGTTCCTGTCTCCACATGGTCACCTGTGTGCAGAATAGCAATTTTACTATGTTCCTCTGACAAACAGGACTGTTCAAGTCAGCTCTGATTGCTGAAATTCCTAGGATTGGTTAATAATAGAGTATTGAAATTTGTTTATAGCTTGACTGTGCTGCATGGATAGGATTGCTTTTTCACTCTACTAGAGCTAGTAAAGGTCAAAGTCTTGTGGCTTGGATGGGCAGTTCAAATAATACAGTTTCATCCCATGTGTTGTTCCTAAAATACTCTGGTTTTGTTGTGTAACTAATTTAAAATGAACCTAAATTCTACATTATTTTGGGAATAAGAGCATACTAAATATTTTTGGGTTTGAATTCCGAAAAAAAGCCACCAGCTAGCAAGGTCAAATTACCTTAATTACAAGCATGACGATTAATTATTTTTCCCTTGTATGCACTATACAATATTTAACCGTTATTGCTACTGACAGGGCTTACTACTAGTGAACTGGATGGCCATTCCTCCTTATGTCATGACTGAACTCTGGATACACTTCAAGGGGATGCAGGTTGTTTTTTTTTTAAAAAAACCCAGTAACTCAAAAGTACTTGCATCTGGCTCATTTAAGACAAGAAAGCCATTGTAGTAAAACATGAGTTAATGTTTTAATGTGCATGAAGTAGCCATGAGATGGGACAACAGCCAAGGAAAGGTACCCATTTCCTCTCTGTTGCATAACACCACACTTCTTTCACACCATGAAGAAGACAATGTCCATATAGTCTTGTCTTGACTTGAGATGAAACTCTTCATGGAAGTTCCCCCTACTAGCTATAGCACGTGAGGCAACTGGTGAGCTTGTATAGCTTGTTCTTCCTTCCAGGCCCTTTTTGCTGAAATCTTGACAAAGATGCCAATGGAAAAATTTCTCTCTGGTATTGCAGTGGCACCCAGCCCTAAAGGGTCTCAGAGCTCGCCTTGCATGAGGTGAGATTCCAAAGCAAAAGGAGGTGCTTGAATTCAGCCCCTGATTTTATTAATTTCAGTATTGTCCTACCTGACAGATTTTTGAATATAAATTCTCCACCAGGACGATGCATCTAGAGATATTTCCTTACTGATAGGATGTATGGTGGTCTCTTCAGTCCCTCAGCCTCAACCTACTTGGAAAAGACTTCTGGAGTCTGTTTGATTAGATACTATTTAAGGAAGAACCCTTTCTTCTCTACATATTTCAATGGCGTCTGATGCTAACAAGTAGGACTCTCGAGTGGCAGGTTTTTCTTTTGTTCTGGAAAGCAAAATACAAGTACAAGCGGAGAAAGTCACAGAGCAACATTTCCTCCTTTTTATTCCCTTCAACAATACCCCAGTTTAGTATTGCTTCTTGTTACAGGGAGGATGCAGAGGTGTGCTGCTGTCTTTGCTGGGGGTGGCTTATATGGTTACCTGCTTGTGTGTGTCGTGAATGAGCCAGCCTGGTATATGATTACAGAAGGCAGGTCTATCATCCAGACCAGCAGCGCAAGGGCAGGCGTGTGGTACGGCAGCTCATTAGGAGGCCATGGTGGTGTCCAGGCAGTGGTGTAATGGCAGTGTCCACTGGCAGTGAAAAAAGATGTGCCTTGCTCCTCAGCTGATGGAAGGTTGAAAGGTGCAACTTTGAACTGGTGACCTGTTAAAAACAAAAGCTGGAGGATGAACATGGAAGAGAGAGAGGTCTCTGAATATTGTGCGCTACTCTGATATTTAATCCTTTCAGAGGGACAGAAGGCTTTATTCTCTATCAGTATGATCTTTGTGGTAGGACTGAACCTTCTAGGATGCAGTAATAAAGTGTTTTGTGGTGATAGCAGCTCCTTTCTCTGGGATTCTCAAAGCTTTTCAGAATAACTGGTTCTCCTAATGCTGTTGGGAGAACAAAAAGGTACATGTTGTTTTTGCACCATTCTTATGTTTGGGGAAATGGGAACAGAAAGCTTATCAGCTATTTAGATGTCCTGAACTGCAAACAGGCACATCGATATCTTGATCTGTCTAGTCCATGATAGCTAAGTTTATCTAGAAAGACTAGCTCCTGCTGCTTCTTCTGCGGCTTGAGACTGCATATTGAGATGATCCAGCTGCTCAATACAGCAAAAAAGATAGCCTCATAGAAAGAGAATAGGTAGGAATAGAGAAGTAAGGGTTAGGGAGCTGAACTAACTTACTGTGCAGTCAGGCAAGCGCTGAGCTAGTGCAAAGGAAGGGTGGGACATTTTGGTAGCATTTGGCCCTTTGATCACCTCCAATCATATGGCTGAGGTATAGCTTATGTGGCTGCATTCTTATGTTAAGAACCATTTTATTTTCTTGACTCCCTCCCTGTGACCCAGGACAGGTCCTTCCTTCCCCCTTCTGGCAAGTGTTTCAACTGTCTGCTGTGTCTGTTGTGTTCTCATGTCTGGCTGAACAAGAGGGGGTTAATGAATGTACAGCACTCACAGTGAGACCAGGTCTGATGGCAGTGCTGGGAGAAAGTACTACGATATGACTAATCTTTAGATAACTGCATGCAAAGAGGATAACATCTGAAAAAATTTATTCTTCCATGTTTATTTTAAATCTCAGAAAAGGCAAATGCATGTCTCTCTTCTCTCTTGGCAGAACCAGCTCCTTGCGAAAGGCTTGCTGTTTATAGAGGAGAAGGTTAAGCTGTGTGAAGGCAAGTACAGTAAGAAACCCATTTTGGAAGGGAGTTGTGCTTTGATGTTTGGTCAGACAAGATGATTTGCATATCTGGAAAGCATACAGCCCTCTCTGGTACTGTCTTAGGGTGTCACACAACCTTTCGGGAGCCAGGCTGCAGTGCAGCTCTTGTGAGGCTTAAGGGATGGTGAGCTGTTTGAATAGACACATAGCTGCAACACTTCCACCAGCTGCATCTTTGTCACAAGAGCAGGAA